CGTGTCGAGCAGCAACAGGATCATGAGAAACTCCACACAGGTTTTATTTTTCACGCTGAGTGCCTACTTTGACACTGGGATTTTCAAGTACTTATATTTTCTGATTGTTCTGGTCATTTACATTTTAATTATCTGTGCTAACTTCTTCATTATTGTGATTATCTGCATGAACAGAAGCCTACACGAGCCTATGTACCTGTTTCTGGTCAGCCTGTTTGTGAATGAACTGTATGGCAGTACAGGGTTGTTCCCATTCCTGCTGGTTCACATCCTCTCTGACATTCACACTGTCTCGGTTTCCCTCTGTTTTCTGCAGATGTTCTGTATTTATTCTTATGCAATTGTTGAATTTCTGACAATAGCCGTCATGTCCTATGACAGATATCTCGCCATCTGTTATCCTCTACAATATAACACACGTATGACATTTAACAAGATTGCAGGCCTTATTGCTTCGACGTGGGTATACGCGTTTCTTGTCATGGCTTTTATCGGGTATTGTCTGACGGGCCATTTGCAGCTGTGTGGGAACATCATCAACAAAGTGTACTGTGACAACTACCACATTGTCCAACTGGCCTGCTCTGACACCACAGCCAATAACGTGTTCGGACTTGTCAATACAACCATAGTCGTCGGTGGTCTTATTGTTTTTATCCTCTACACCTACATGAGGATCCTCAAAGTGTGTTTTTCTGGTAGCAAACAGACCAGACAGAAAGCCGTCAGCACCTGCACACCTCACCTGGCTTCTATCCTGAACTTCTCTTTTGGTTGTTTCTGTGAAATAATTCAGAGCAGGTTCAACATGAACGGTGTGCCGAACATGCTGCGTATTTTCATGTCCTTGTACTTCCTTGCATGTCAACCACTCTTCAACCCTGTTCTGTACGGGCTCAGGATGTCCAAAATACACAACACATGTAAAATCCTGCTTGTTGGTAAAAAAATAACAACAAATACGATAAATGCACCAAACTAATATGTGTTTTTAACATGTGTGCTCAAGTTAAAGAAAAGCTGGCTGTGTTATTTGCTCCAGTCACATTTTTCCTCACTGTGGGCTTATTTTTTTCTGCAAAGTAAAATCTGCACCTCTATAAAAAAAACTGTGCAACCACGGTTTGAAGTAGAGAGAACTTACAAGAGATGTCAAAAAAGTTACAAGACTGGTGTCACAAAAGATATATTTCAAATCCAAACTACCAGTTCTCCCCTTCCAAGTAATCCCCCTGGAGTCTAACCCACTTCCCCAGTCTTCTCTTCATGCCGCCATGCACTCCTGGAAGGATTCCTCCTGGATCCTCTCAGGTTCGTCCTAACAGCCATCTTGATGTCGTCCACGTCTTCTAAACGGGTCCCCTTGATGACCCCCTTGAGCTTGGGGAACAGGAAAAAATCCCACAGAGCCAGGTGGGGTGAGTAGGGAGGTTGCTCCAGCACGGTGATGTTCTTTGGCGATGGGCGGCTGTGGCTCAGGTGGTAGAGCGGGTTGTCCTCCAATCGCAAGGTTGGCAGTTCGATCCCCGGCCCCACCACAGATGAAGTGTCCTTGGGCAAGACACTGAAAAAAAGTTGCTCCCAATTGCAGGCAGGCACCTTGGATGTGATCTACTCTACATCACTTTGGATAAAAGCATCTGCTAAATGAAACTGTAAATTGTAAATTCTCAGCCAGGAACTGTCGGATGCTCAGGGCATTGTGAGCAGGCGCATTGTCATGGTGAAGCAGCCACAACTCTTGCCTCTTTCGCACACTCTTTCGTTGTAGACATGCTGGTTGATCAACTCATAGTTTGTAGTTTGGGTTTGAAATATCTTTTATGACACCAGTCCTGGAACTTCTCTGACACACCTCGTAGACAGCTTATGTGCAGTGTGACACAGTTAAAGGCCATATTAAAAAAAAAAAGTTCATTTTGTAAATGTCTGTTTCTCTGTTGGTGAGCTGAAGTGGTGATGAAGAGTTAGTGTCTGATTGTCTGCACCAGGAAGGCGGCTCACGTCTTCGTTTCAAGCGGTTTCATGAGGACATGGACTGATGTCTACTCGTAAAGAAAATGTTGTAAAAATGTGCGTCCCGATTTAGAATGATTAACTCTTTGCAAATAAAGCTGCTGAAGTCACCTGCTGAGAATTACTGTATTTTTTTCATATTTCAATATTCATAGTTGAAAACAAAAGATTACATACATTTGAAAGACCGTGTGTATCATGACAGTCTTAAGACTCCTTTAACTCTAAATTTTCTATTACCCCTTTTTCACCAAACTGGTTCCGGTGCCGGACTTAGTACCACCTAAGCACCAGCTCCAGGTTCTCAAAACTGGTGCTTTTCAGGCACCAACTCTTTGCTGGGCCAGAGAAAAGCACCAAGTACGCCAGGGGCTGGGGGCAGGGTGATTGTGACGATTACCACCAAGACCGATGGATGGGACACACAAATGGTGGAAAACAGTACTTCTATAACATCAGTGTACTGCAGTATTTACATTTGGACATGCGGTCCTAAAACGGAGCGCACCTACGTGTGCTGTTTATTACTCTCATAGAAAAGACTGCACTAGAAAAAAACACTTGGTTTCATCTTGGACAAATCTGACAATAGAACGCCCTGGTTTACTCTTTGTAAAGTCAGTTTTGGTCGCCCACCGGTCTGATCACCACAGCCACCACCAGCAGCTACTGCAGCCTGCAGTGTGGGATGTTCAGGGAACATCGGCAGATTGCAGAGCCTATCAATAAGAAAATGTTCAGCAAGTCACGTTTTTCCTGTGACAAGGTGGGAAGTTAAATTTTTTTTTTTAAAAGTCCTGTGTAGACTTCCGTGTGGCGCGAGTATTGCTCCGTAAATGGCTACGTATGCAGTGACGTATGGCGTGGCTCTAACTTGGCTCCTTGCTGATGGAAAAGCAACCGGTTCTTTGGCCAACTCATCACTGGCCTTCGCATCAGCACGGAACTGGCACCTGGTTGTTTTTGGTGGAAAAGGGGTATATGGTGGAATGATTGAAACATGTCGTCCCAAAAACATTCATGCATTTTGGTTCTTTCACTGATTTATTTAAGGTCTTCTGAAAACATGACAAAATCTGTTGGGTCACAAATATACATACAGAAAGTTGTACGAATCAAATGTTCTTAGTTTCATGGCTGATGAAGTTCTCACAAGTGATTACGATTCACTACAGCTGCTGACTCCTGAGAAAATTTAAATAGGACCCATTTGATCCACTTTTTAGACTCAGGTTTGGTGTTCTTTAAGTTACAGGCCTCACCTTCTGATCTCTCCTACCATCAGACATGGAGGTGGCAGCATCATGCTCTGGTTCTGTTCTGCTGCCAGTGGACCTGGAGCTTTACACAAAGTCAATGGACCAATGAAGAAGGAGGATCACCTCCAGGTTGTTCAGGAGAACCTGAAACCATCAGCAGAAGGTTGATCTTGGACACAGTTGGATGTTCCAACCAGACAATGAGCCCAAACACACATCAAAGTGGTGAAGAAATGGTTCCATCAGGCTGGAATGAAGGTTCTAGACTGGTCTCCCCAAAGTCCTGACTGGAACCATCCAGAACTGATGACTGAGGACTGATGAAGAAACAAGTCTGAGTCAGAAAGACGACAAATTTAACTGATCGTGTCAAGGCGAGTGGGCAAAGATACAACCTGAAGCTTGTGGATGGAAACCAAAAGCACCCGTTAACATAAAAATGACCCAAAGACACTTAACCAAACATTAGCATTACCGTGTGCAGATTTTGTCACACAATGAAAGAACCAAAATGCATGATTGTTTTTGTGATAAAGACGCATGTGTTTTAATAATTCCATCATTAAAAATGTGGTATTATGGGAGTCATTGGAAACTCAAGACTGTCATGATTTCCATGACTTTGAACTTTTGGGTTCTCTGCTCTTCGTTTAAAATGACCTACCTTCCTATGTGAAGTGCTGTGAGTTGGCGCTATATAAATAACTAAAAAACGATATACACGGTCTCCACAAGTGGATGCAAACTTTTTTCACAACTATATGGCAGAAAAACACAGTGTCAGCTTTTCCAATGTCGTGCAGCCCTGGTTAAAAAAAAAAAAAAAAGTATAACACCATCAGTCAAGACCAGAGTGTGGTTTGATAATGACGTCTGATGTCCGTCCCTCTGATCAGAAAGGGTTAAAAGCAGCAGAAGAAGAGCGCCAGAGCCCAGCTGGGTGGGAGTCGCTCAGCGAGGTGGTGGTGAGTTTAACATGTGAGATGAGATGAACGTGCTTGTTGTGGTCACACTGAAGTGTCTTTACATCCAGCTGAGACTTTGTGCCACAGTCATGCTGCTGAACCTGAGCAGAGCTGAGAGCAGAAGTCACAGAAACACTGAATGCACCTGCTGAACACTGTTAATGCTGCTCTGACAGGAGGACGATGAGAAACTTCACACAGGTGTCATATTTCACCCTGGGTGCCTACTTCGACACCGGTGTCTTGAAATACTTATACTTTGTGATTGTTCTGGTTCTTTTTGTGTGTATCATCAGTGCTAACGTGTTCCTCATCGTGGTCATCTGCATGAACAGAAGCCTCCATGAGCCCATGTACATGTTTCTGGTCAGCCTGTTTGCTAACGAGCTGTACGGTAGCATGGGGTTGTTCCCATTACTGCTGGTTCAGATCCTCGCTGACGTTCACACTGTTTCTTACACGTTCTGTTTCCTGCAGGTTTTCTGTCTGTATTCATACGGAGGTATAGAAATTCTGACTTTAGCCATCATGTCCTACGACCGATATCTCGCCATCTGTTATCCTCTGCAATATAACACACGTATGACATTTAATAAGATCGCAGCGCTCACTGCTCTGATATGGCTCTACCCTTTGTTCATCAACATTGTTCTGATATACGGGATGACCGGCAGCCTGCTGCTGTGTAGGAACATCATCAACAAAGTGTACTGTGACAACCACTACATCGTGAGGCTGGCCTGCTCCGACACCACCATCAACAACGCCATCGGACTCGCCCACATGTTCACCGTCATCTTTGGTCTCATCCTGCTGATCCTCTACTCCTACGTGAGGATCCTTAAAGTGTGTTTTTCTGGCTGCAAACAGACCAGACAGAAAGCCGTCAGCACCTGCACGCCTCACCTGGCGTCTCTGTTCAACTTCTCCTGCGGCTGTTTCTTTGAGATCGTGCAGGCCCGGTTTAATCCGACCCACCTGCAGAACTTGGTGCGTATCTTCCTGTCGCTGTACTGGCTCACCTGTCAGCCACTGGTCAGCCCGCTGGTGTACGGCCTGAATCTGTCCAAAATACGCATCATGTGTAAAACTCTGCTCTTTGGGAGGAAAGTGTGACCTGACGTGTCCTCGTTAGACGTACTGTGACAGCGTGAATCAACAGATTTTAATTAAACATAGAACCTGAGTCTCTGAATCACTAAACGTTCGTTCTTTCGCTGACGGTTTATGCACGTCTAACACTCAGTTTGGCCTCTTCAATGTCAGAAAGCTGTGAAAAATGTGATTTCTGTGTTTTCCAAAGACGACAGAAGCCGTGAGTGTGACTGTCAGAGGAAAACAAAGGAAAAGGAATCTGACTTATGAAGCTGCAATCATAGAATTAAAAAAAACTGCTTCAACAGATTCATTTATTATCATTAGTTGTTGTTGTAGGTTTAACATCTGATTAATTTCCTAATATGCACTTTTTGAGCCCCCAAAAGCTTCGACTGTTTTGTGATATCAGCTGTAAAACAGCCCAGAGGGGGTTTGCTTATGCATCCTGCAGCAGCTTTCTAGAACTACAGCTGCTGCACAGAGAACTGGATATCAAAAGCAGACACGTCAACGGATACATGAAGGAGAAAAACGAGGTCTGACGACGCACTATATCTGAATTAAGTGTTGTGTGATCAGTGGCGGGTCTCAGTCGAGGCTGAACAGGTGTGACAGCCTGATGTTGATGGATCAGATTAAAGCGCTGAGAACAAGAACCAAACTCAGCTACTAGAAGTTTAAACCATCTAGTTACAGCTCTGGGTGTGTTTAGTTGTTAGTTGGTGTAATCGATGCATCTTTCTGTGCTGATGTCTGTGCTCACACAAACTCCTAATAAAGCTGCTCTGATTCACACGTGTCTGTTTCTGTTGTCGATCGGCAGAACGAGGACGAAACAGCGACTGATTTAAACAAACGACGTCTGTGCTGAGAATCCAGGTGAATTCACACCGAAATCTAGAATAAAATCTAAATATCCACCGCGTCCACGTCGCGCTTTGCTCGAGATGAAAGTTTAATCATCCTAAAAGGGAATTCTTTTAGGCAGACGTCACTCAGAAAAAACTACTGACATGAAAAACACTGAAAAAGCAGAAAACAATCAGCTGTAAATACAACGATGGACTGAAATAAAACAACGAGGCTGAGATAAGATGCTAGAATGAAACAGTTTAAAGTGATTCTTTATGCTGAGCTTTCATATACAAACTGAACCTTTTTCACTTTGTTAGGTGATGATTAGTGTTTTCTTGTTTGTCTGCAACTCCACAGCTTTTATTACATTTCCTACTGTGCTGCGTCGGACTTTAATTCAGTCACAGTTAAATGAACTTACACTGAATGCTTTTGTTTGGAGGAAAATAATCATTTAGATTAATCGAGTATTTAACCTGCACCAGTAAATCCCACATCAGTGAACCTTCATCACAGTCAAAGCATGTGAATGCTGCAGCTGTTTTGTTGTTTAAAGACTATTTATTTATGGTGATTTTTTACTGAGACACGAAGAATAAAGTGATTTTGATGAAATATCACAACCCTAAGATGAGATTTAGTTCTTTTTTTCTGACAGAACTGTACATTACAGACGATCAGAGCTGAAAATCTTCCTGTTCTTACAGCTTCTGGCTCATAAATGGTGATATTTGTTTCAGCCCAGCTGGTTGGTCACTGGGTTCAGTCGGGTCAATCACATACCAGCAGGTTTCTATAAACTGCAGCGACGCTCAGAGGTGGAAAAAAGGGTTCAGGTCAAAATGTTCTGATTCCAAGCTGTGGCAGTAACACACAGAGAAAGAGAGTATTTCTATGGTCAGAAGGAGGCCTGAGTGGAAAATTATCACAATAAAATGTTTGTTTATAGACAAAATGGATGAATATTGGTAATTGTTGAGCAGAAAATCTGATTTATTTGCACCTTTACGTGCAGCTCTGGCTTTTACTTCTTTATCCTCACTGCTATATTTTACTACATGAGAGTTTTTCGTCGCCGTGTCAAAAATAAAACCATCAACTGGGTCAGTTTGTGTCAGACGGCAGCGTTGCGTTGCAGATTTCACTCCGTTGCTATTTGGGACTCAAAACTAAACTCTGTGAAGCATCTCGGCTGGATTTTGAGAATTTTGTACGTTTTCAGAACTGTGAAAGTTTAATTTTTAGCGTTTGATATTTCCAGAAATAAACCTCCCAGCAGATCGTAATGACTAAATGTCTCCAGCAGGGGGCACATTCTGATTTTTTTGGAACTTGAAAATGGGGGGAAAGAAGTAGAAAATCTTCAAACGACACCTGTATCGGGGCCCCAGGAAGTTCCTGGAAGTGTATATAAACGAATGGATCCATAGTTCCTGCTAGAGTTCACCAACAGGGTTTTATGTTTGACCAGTTTTATAAGCTTATGAAATTCTCAAGATACTTTTAGATCTCAAATGACAAATAACTCGGAACAAAGTCCAAGACGCTGCAGCGACAGAGTTCCTGGATTCGGTCTGAACTGACACGAGTGTCTGTATAGTCCTGGTGGTTTTTAAGGTGTTACGGTTGTTGTTCTTGTATTTTAAAATGAACAGGTTTCACCGCTTTAGCTCCTCTGGTTGAGCTGGCGACCCATGTACAGGGGCTATAGTCTCCTTCATGGGTTCGAATCCCGCTCATGGCCCTTTGCTGCAACCCATTCCCCCACTCTCCTGTCTCTCCTTCAACTTTCCTATATAATGAAGGCAAAAGGCCAAAGAAGTAACTTAAAAAACAAAACTGTACAGGTTTCAGGTCAAGCGTCGGTGCAGATGTTGGGTTCACCACATCTGTCTGAGCTCATAAAGCAAACTGCAGCTAAACGGAACAAAGCGCTGCGTTTATCATCAGCAGGTTTGTGTTTCATGTGGCGCCCATCAGTTTAGTTTCCAAACATATGCAGCCTGAACACGGCTACGAGACGTATTACTGCCTCGAGTCACTAAATGTCAATAAACTGTTAGATCCAGATAGAAGCAGCTGCATTGAATCACTTTCAGGCACTAATTTCAGCTACTTCATTCAGAACCGGGCCTGGACTACAGACCTTCTAATGGGACTAATGGACTGAGAGGAAAACATCCTCGAGCTGCAGCATCAGCAGCGGTAACCACGGCGACGACACAGCGTCCTCCCGTGGTTCCTCCGTGATAATTGGCCCGCTAGCGACGCGTCTCCAGAGTGTCCGAGCGTCCGCACAGACTCAGACCTCCGGGGCGACGCTTGGTGCTGCGCTATAGTTAGAACTGGCTGATGAGGAGCTCCGCCGGGGCTCGTTAGCGTGAAGCCACACAGTAAACATGATGAAACGGACCTGAAGGGTCCCCCGCTGCCCGCCGTGACCCCGGCGCCACAACAAACATGTTCCAGCTACGGAGTGACCTGCAGAGGAAACTAACCTTCAGCGGGCGTCTGGTCGGAGCCGTTTCTACCTGCACAGGTGGAGTTCTGGTGTTCACACGCTGGTTTCAGGCAAAACGTCCTCCAGCTGGTTCCTGAGAGCAGAAGAAAAGTGAGTCAAGTAGAAGTTCAGAGAGGAAACATGAAGACGATTCATTACATACGTCAGTCACATAATGAATCATTTCCTCAAACTGCTGTGAAGAAGGAACCTGATCAGATATCAGGTCAGTTTTAGCTTTTTAACGTCACATGAAATCAGGTTTTAAAACCTTTTTCAACAGACAACGAATCCTGCAGTTACATTAAGTGCATGAGTTTATGCACATTTACATCCCAACATGAGGAATTCTTAACAATTCGTCATTATTTACCACGTTCTGGACGGGATGGGGGATACCTGCACAATGACCAAATATTCAGATTTTGGGTTATTTGGCTCCAGCCCGATGTGGACTGAACCACCAACCACAACAACACAGCCGCCCAAATGACCTATGTTAACCTCAGCTACAGAAATAATAACATTATGGGGTCTTAAGCTCAATAAATTGCTTACGATACTGCCGGGGAATCTGTATAACACATAATGTTGTAGGGTTTGAACCATTATATTTAAATTAGTCAGCCATGTTTTTATAAATATACATATTTTCTAAGGTCTTCTAAGGCCCCGACTTTCAACTGGATTAGTCCTGTACAGATATATATATATAATACATCATATTGTAATGTTCTAACCTCAACAGTTTGCCTTCATAGGAAAAGTCATGAAGCTGAATTTATTTTGTTTCCTCTGGAAATGTTTTGACTCATTTGCATAAACAAACAAAGTATAGTTCAATTGAAAACTAAAATAATTAAATCAAAATAATAAATAAATAAATAAATGTGTGCTTTTCTCTTCTGCTCCACTTAAAGAAAACATTTTATGGAAGCAAAACAGCCAAAAAAACATCGAAATTAAAACAAAAACTATGGCGCTACAGTCAGGTTACAGCAGGAAGCTATGCTAAGCTAGCATCAACGTTAGCATCGTAGTTAGCATTGAATTAGCATTAAAATGTCTCCCGAATAGAACTATTTCAATAACAGAGCCGTGCTGGATGCTAGGCGATGCTACCCTCTGGGTTCTGGGTTCTGTGTAGCTCACCTGTCGGCTGTAAGCTCGGAAGTTTTCGCCGTGTTTCGAACCGGGTGCTGCGTTTTCCAGGAAATAGACGGAGCCGGCGGGTAGTTCAGGCGGCCTGGGACACCAGAGCGCTCCCGGTAAATACACGCCGCTGGAGCAGCTTTAGAAAACATGTCACCACCGATCCGTTTACTTTGCAAACTTCTAAAAACATAAGAGTTCAAACAAAGCAGATATTTCTGATAATAATTTTTTTATTTTTTTTTTAAATGGCGGCTGTGTCAGCCAATCATCTGGCTTATAGCTACTGGGCCAGCCAATCATGTTGCTGCATCAGTAGTAGTGACAGAAAACCGTTTTTAAAACCTTTTTTTCAATGCTTTAATTCCCTTTCTGAGTGTTTTTAGCTTTTTTCTTCATTAGATTTGACTGGTAATAATATATATGTTGTGTTTATGCACCAGACAAAATGGCCGCCCTCCTCAACAGGAAGGCTGCGTTGGCGGAACATCACGTGACCTCAGTTTATCCGTTAAAATAAAGTTTGAAAGTCTCTTAAAGGCTTAATGCAACGTTTTTAAATGAGTTTGCTTTAACACAGATGTAAATTAATTCCATTTTATAGAATTTTAAAATGTTATTTATCCATTTAAGGATTTATTTATTTATCGGGTAAAAGGGTTGAATGTAGTTAATTTATTGAGTGGAAGGTTTTTGTTGTGACAACTGAAATCAGTACAATACACAGACTGTAGATGTTATTGCGTTTTGTTGCCTTTTGTTTTAGTTTCTTGTTTTTAAATCAATGAATTTAGCTCTGACTAAGTTGCCTGAAGCAGAGGTTTGCACGTTCTGATTTGATGGTTTGTTGTAGTAATGTTTAGGTGCCACACTTTTTGGTCACTTTGTCTGTTTCTGGTTGTTTTCAGACTCCTCAGGCTCTGGATTCGAGGCCTTTAGGTCCGTTCAGCATCAACATATCGAACCAGGAAAGTTTCTCAGAACTTACTTTTGCTGGTGTTCTGGCTCTGGGGGAGTTTCAGGGTGTCGTCACTGTGCTGGACTTCATTCATAAGTTGGTGGTGATGAAGTGCTGAGTCAGAACCTCGTCACAGGAGGAGGGCGAGCGGCATCAGTCAGGATGAACACAACAAGTAAGAGCTGCCGGTTTGTTCTCCACGGAGCTGGACTGCTGCAGGTTCACGTCTGAATCCAGTCGTTACCTGTTAAAGCCTTTCTGTCAGCAGCTGAACGTGATCCTGTTTGTATTTCTGTGTGATGGAAGAGAGCAGCTCAGCTTCATGAGTTTTAAAGTGTGTTTTGTTGTTAGGTTTTAATCACTCAGTTCAAAGAGCAGCTTGGTTCCTCATGAACACAGACTGATGGGACACAAAGCTACAGAGCTGTGAGGCTTTTAGTGACTGAACTAAAAGCTTCATCATCAGAGAAGTGTTGTTGTCCAGGAGACACGCTGCTGCAGCATCACCCACAATCCTGACGTCTGCTTTTAAATCAAGATGAACAACGTTGCTGCCGTCACTCAGCTTTCAGATTGTTTGTTTGTTCGGTCGTGTCTCAGTGATTATTTCTGTCATGTTGTAGTTTTACTGGTTTTTGTGGTGAACAGATTTTTGTGCTGCAGGTTTCTGCTCAGAATGAGTTTCAGTGAGTTCGGAGGCATCAGGCGTCACAAAAACAGACTTTAGCTTGACGTCCAAATTCAGTTGTTGCCCAAAATTCTTTATTAATTCAAGCAGGACTAATGAATTCTGGGTAGGTTGGGTCTCATCCCTCTGAACTCTGAGCGGTTTCTTGGTGTTTTTTTCTTGCTCCTGTCACGTTTTTGGGGCTAAAGTTTCACCACCATCTGGAGTAAATAAATCCTTCACTTCTAGGGAACCACGAAGAAGCAGCGAGAACTCAGAAAATCTGAAAAAAAAGTTGAATTCCTTGAATTAATTATTTCACAGAAATTGAAAATAAAAAATCGTAGAATTACAGCATTTTATTTAGTGTCCATATTTGTGATCAGTGCTGGGAAATAATGTGACTGAAGACTCGATCACACATTGAAATGTTTGTTCTGATGCTTTTCTGTGGACTCGTGCTCTTTACTGTTACTTCCTGATCTTTTTTTTTTCAGTTTACTGGAAATTGTTGCATATTTCAAGCTTCCGTTTCTGTATGTTTGTATTTTTTGTTCCGATTTGTGTCACTTTCTGGTCATTTTTCATCTTTTTATGTTTTTTTTTTGGCTTATTTTTGTAAATGTTGTTTCTCATTTTGACTCTTTTGCACGTCTTTGTGTTTGTTTGCTTTTAATTTTGTGTCTCATATTGTTCAGTTTGTGCCTCTTTGTGGATATTTCACTTTACTTAATGATTATTTTGTGTCACATTGTGGTCGCTTCGCATCTGATTGAAGCCATTTCGTCTGCTCGCGGTCGCTTCGTGTCTCGTTTTGATCGTCTTGTGTCTCGTCATGAGATGTAATTATAGAACGACATCAGGCCTCCTGCTGGTGAAGCTGCACAGATAAAGTTACTCTTAATTTCTGCAAATATTAGTGGCTTTTAACAGATGTTTAGGAAATTTGTCCAACTCCTGGTTTCTGAACAGAAGATGAAAACTGATGTTAAATAGAATTTAATGTTGATAAATGTGTTTAAAAGAAATTTGAGCTTCAATTATGTTGCAAAAGATGATTTATAGTTTCCAAAGTGAAATATTTTGAATGAAAACGTATCTTTTTGCAAATCTACTAGAATATGAAACTCAAACTAACATGACGATGAACAGAATTAAAACACATTTGTACCTAAAAGCTGTGACGTACGATTAAGAAAAGAAACTTTTTGCATTTTAAATCTAAATCTGAACAACATACGATATAAGAAAAACAGTTTATAAAGTATTTAGTGGTAAATATCACGTCTAAAACACTGTTTCATATATTATATGATAAAATTAACACAGACATCAGTGATGATGTTACTGAAGGTTTAAATATAACGAGTGTTTTACTGTAACGGTGGTTCTGTCCCAAATCATCAGAGGCCTTCTGTCAGAACCACCTCTGGTTTGATTCACTTTGTTTCTTCAGCCAAAAAATCAGAAAAAAAGCAGCACAGCCAAAAAAAAAGCTTTTTTTACTTGAAGAAGCATTTTGAAACTCCAGAACTCTACTTGGATCAGACGATCTACCAATACTCATGTTTTTGTGGAACAACTTGTCCTATCTGCTCAATTATTTATTATTTATGAAAGTTCAGTAGATATACATATATATATATATTTATACATTTATAGTTGTTTTGTGTTCTTGTGACCTGCAGCTGCACATGTTTGGACATTTCTTCAATTATTCTGTGAATATGAGCTCAAAGACGGAACTTTTCACAACTACTTCCATCTTTCTCATATTTCATCTCACCCATAATCACAAACTATTGATTTCATCGACGGCATGACGGTAAATAACAGAAAAACTCAGGTTTTTATCTTTAATACTTCCTGACATGTCGCTGTTCAAACAGCCTCAAATTTCAGAAACTATTTGATTTATTCATCTAGAAGTTCTTCTGAAAAATATCTTTATAAATAATGTATTTATAATATACTATACTTACACTTACATACTTGTAATTTATAAATATTAAGAATTTATGCTGTGAAAATTTCAGGCAAATCAGAGCTGGTTGAGAAGAAACTGTTCTAAAAATGTGTTGATCTGAGATTGAACGGCTCAGACCTGAACCATCCTGGTCTGTTCAGGTCTTTGTTTAAATGTAAATTATTAGTATTTTCGTGACAAGTCCCAGGTCATATTTTACTGGTTTCATATTTGACTGGTTTCATCTTGAACATGACTGAACTGTTCCAGTTCCTCTCTTGTCTCCAGGCTACTGAAGGAGGAGGTTTGGAGGACGGAGGATGGTGAACGTCTCCTTGCACCAGGACTTCATCCTGGACGGATTCGGGGAGCTCGGGGCGCTGAGGCCGGTTCTCTTCGTCCCGTTCTCCGTCATGTTCGCCGTGTCGCTGTCGGCCAACTCCCTGCTCTTGTACGTCGTGGCCTCCAACCGGAGCCTCCACTCGCCGATGTGCGTCCTGATCGCCGGCATGGCCGTGGTGGACCTGAGCCTCCCGCTCTTCTTCGTCCCCAACATGCTGCTGAGCTTCCTGTTGGACTGGAGGAGCATCTCTCTGACGGGCTGCCTGCTTCAGATGCACCTCATTCACTTCGTGGGAGCTTTCCAGTCCACGCTGCTGGTGTGGATGGCGCTGGACCGCTACTTCGCCATCTGCGCGCCGCTCAGCTACAACCAGCGCATGGCGCCGCCGAGGTTCCTCAAGTTCATGGTCCCGTGTTTGATCCGGAACTTCACCCTGAACACGCTGATGGTGAGTCTGGCGGGTCGGCTGGAGTTCTGCGGCGGGAACGTCATGAACCACTGCTTCTGCGAGCACATGGCTCTGGTCCAGCTCGCCTGTGGAAGCACCGCCATCAACAACCTGATGGGGCTGCTCACCCTCTTCCTCATCCCCGTCGCGGACTTCATCTTCATCACCACCTCCTACATCGTCATCTTCGGCTCCGTGCTGCGTTCAGGGAAATCCGGCGCCAAAGCTCTTCGCACGTGCGTCACCCACATCGTCGTGATGATGGTCAGCCTGATGGTGGCGCTCATCGCCTTCCTGTCGTACCGCATCAGAAACAGCCTCCCCGCAGCCAGCCGGGTTTTCTTCAGCACCATGTACCTGCTGTTCCCGAGCTGCTTCAACCCGATCATCTACGGCATCAGAACCGCGGAGATCCGACAGCACATCGTCAACACGCTGAGCTGCTGTCGACGCGTTATTCCTAAAAACACCTGAAAGAAAAACCCAAACCGGTCCAGTTTGTTCGGAACACAAAGCAGCGCCACGGAGGAGCAGCGAAGGTGAACTTTGGATCAGCACCGAAGTGATTCTCAAAGTTTCATCATGAATCGTCTAAAAATCAGAATAAAAACTGGTTCATTAGTTAAACTGCAAAAACATCCTCAATAAGTTAAGTTTTGTTCTGAGAGAACAGAACAGGTTGGCCAGAACCTGGATGACCTGGTGGACCACAGTTTGGATCTGGATCTGATTTAATGCTGAAGCTAAGTCTGAATCTGGTTTGAATCTAAATCTAAACAGGATCTGATCTGGATTCTGCCATAAAGTGATTTTTTTATTTTTTCTGCAAATGATGAGTTCGAGGGCCGTCGGAAAGTTTTAAATCTGATTCTTTTTGTTTCTGTTTTTACGGTTTCTGGCAGATAAATTGGGTCATTTTGATGATTTTGTACAGATCTGCCCTTTTTAACCCAATCAGCTGTTGACAGGGTGAAAATCTGCGATGAAATGATGAAGCGTTTGTTGTGTTGAAGTCAAACCTGTTGATGATAAACAGAAACAGGGAAAAAGTTTGTGGCACAAACGTGCAACGACCAATTAAAATGAATGAAAAGAAGACTGAACTTTGGCAATTAGCAAATTAGGATACAGATCGTGTTTCTGAGCCAAAAATGATCAACATTTTACTGATTATTTACTTGTTCCACCATTTCTGACCCCTGGTAGCGACATGTGACGTGTTCAGGGCTGGAAAACACATCTGAGCTCTGGTAGAAAACTGCAATCAAATCAGTTTTAAAGCCACTTCTGGTGTCATAATCTAAACACTAAATCTGTTTTTGTTGAGCAGGTGCAAAAACACATTTCTAATTTTCACGTGATGAGATCAGAGCATCAACACTCAGAGGAACCAGTGATCCATGAAATCATCTCTGATTTAAACTCCTGTGGCTCAGCTGTTGTTCTGTATTTAAACAGACAACATAACGTCCTGTTCAGCTACAGGTGTGATGTTTTATTCTCCGGCAGGTGAGCGTTCATAACAACACCAGGACCCAGCGGTTCGTTGTGTTCAGTGTTTATTATATTTCTGCAGTCGGATAGAAAACTTCTCCCGTTTCCTTCACATTCTCTGACAAACAAATAAAATCAGATAAAACATCCATCAGACCTCCAACAGCAGCCGTCGGAAGTGCCGCTCTCTGATTGGACGAGCAAGCAGAGCGCCAACGCCCCCTTCAGGACAGACGAGGAGCTTACAACGAGCTGAGTTTAATCTACATCAGACCTACTGTCGTCTACTGTACACACACTATGACGCAGCTCTGAGCCCTCACACACACACACACACACACACACACACATGTTCTGCCTGTACTTGTGAGGACCTGCGGTGAGGACGACGGCTGAATGCCCTCAAACAGACAGATGTACACGGACATACACACTCTATGAGGACCCTCTATGATGTGGTGCACTAACAGGCCTCTCAGCCTATGATGCAAAATAAACCCCATAAATCTAATCAGAGTCCTGTGGAGGTTCTAAAGGAAGGATGAATCTTGAATGGCTTTAAATTCATACTGGTCCTCTTAAAGTGACACATACAAGAACACACACATGTTGAGACGGATTTTGTTTATGTGGCCCCTAAATTAAACTGGATCCTGATTGGTCTGAATGCAAAGTGGTCCTCAAAAAGACACCCACTGTGGGCACCTGTGTGAATATGATGCTCCACCAAGTCCCTGATCTAGACTTTATCCTGATGACAACGGAGCATCCGAAAGTGAAGACGTCACATTACTACTGATGTAGAATAAAATTCACACAGACCCACACAACAGTAGACATACAAGAAACCAGACACGTTGTGGAGAACCTCCAAGGCCCCACATCTAAACCGAAATAATCCCTAAAACCAGAACTGAGCCCCTTTCCAAGGTTTGTCTGAGGAGACAAAATATTTTCAAATGGTCCAAAATTCAAACTGGTCCTCACAAAGACAGACATTATAGGGACCAGTGTGGAGTTTATGCCCTCCCAGTCCTCCAACTGTTCCTATTCCTGAACCTTAAAAAAAAAACGCCCCAATGGCCCGTTGAAAGTCCGCCCCCCCACGAGGACCAAACAAAATGTCCCCACATGAAAACTACACTGGTCCCCACAAAATTAGACACACAACAACACAAGCACATAGTGGGCAGGTTTGCTGATATGATGCCCCGTCAGCCCTCCAACTTAAACCTGTTCTTCATTTAGAAAGAATGTCCCGATGGCCTCCTACAGTTTGGTCCTACAGTGTCTTCACTAGCGTGGACATTCAACAGGTCCTCACAACACGACGTAGGCAAGAACACGGACACATTGTAGGGACCTCGGAGGACAAGATTCACAACCAGGCTTTAAACTCAAACCTGATCCTAAACAACACCCCAACGGCCCATCAAAGGTTTAAAAATACGTCCTCATGTCCCCCCAGGAAGTCCTCACATGGCGTTGCCTCACACTGGTCCTCACAAGTACAGAAGCACAAGTTTGACACGGACACACAGAAACATCTTTGGCAGGAAGCAGCTTCTTCTGCTGAACAAACGACGACACGCACAGGAAGCTGCACGGGATTGGACGGTGATGTCATCAGGCGGCGACGCTCACACACACACACACACACACACACACACACACAGATAGTCTACAGTGTTTAGTGTTGTCACAATACCGACTTCAATATGTTCAGTTTCAGGTGATGGAGTCCAGGTGAGCAGACCAACAGCACCACCTGCTGTCAGAGTCGTGTACCTGCTGCATGACGCAGAGCACTACGGGATTATGGGTAATGAAGTCTCTTCTATTCACTAATGTTCACCTTTTAACCTGCTGACGGTTTAACATGTGATAAAACTGAACTCATCACGTTTATTTCTTCGATGCGCTTCCACACGTTTCTCTGCGTTGCGTTCACTGTCCTGCTCCAGCTGCCTGCTGTCAAGGTCTGACGGTAGAAAGTTCAATTTTAGACGAAAGAGAAAAAGCAAAACGCTTCTTTTCAGAACTCGAGATTAGAAACTATTCAACCATTTGTATTTTTTACTTGCTTTGACACGAACAAGGGATAAAACCAGAATCTGAAGCGAGTCCCTGGACAGCTCATTCTGGTACCTGAATCTCTCACGTATATTTAAGTTCCTGAATGCCTCCTGAGCTTCTATAAATCCAGAATAGTTCTTGTAGTTTTAAATGCCTCATGCTTAGTTCACTTCCCAAACGCCTCTCAACTATCTTAGTTATTTTTGCTCCTAAATGCTCAAACTTTATTCCAGTTTCGGAATTTCCCACGCTGGTCTTTTCACTGAATGCCCCATGCTTATTTTAGTTCCTTGGCTGCTCATTTAAGTCCCTGAACGCATCATACTTATTCTCATTCCTGAATGTCTCACAATCATTTTGGTTCCTGAACATCTCATGCTTATTTTAGCTCCTTCACTGCTTAGCTTATTTAAGTCCCTGAACACACCACGCTTATGTCATTTCCTGAATCCCCTACATTCATTTAAATTCCTGAATTCCCCACGCTCCTGAAGGCCTCACTTACTTCGTTACCAGATAAGGAACTAAAGTAAGTGTGAGGCATTCAGGAACTAAACGTAGGAGTTCAAATTTAACCCCGACTGAACTTGTTGTAATCAAGAACTGAATTTAGTCGTCCCACGCTGATTTTTACACCCAAACACCCCCAACGTCTAGTCCCTAAACACACCACGCTCGCTGCAGTTCTGGTCTAAGATCAGACTCTGAAGGCCAATCCGTAGTTTGTGCGTCACATCAGACCTGGAGCTCCACAAACAGCTGGCGGTTCTGCTTTTTATAAGGCATTTTATTTTGAAATTTTAAGGCAACGCTCCAAATTTCAGAATAAGAGTCCGGTCACTTTTAAAAGGCATCGCTGCTGACGTCTTGGTTTTAATTAACACTGAACACGGGGTTTGCTTTTACACGACGGCGTTTCGGTTACCATGACAACACTAGTAATGGCGGTTAGTGGTTACAGAGTGTAGAGTGGTTCCAGTCCCTTCGGTTTGACCTTAAAACCGCCACGAACAACGAAGTCTAACGGGGGCTTTAAGGCGCTAATCAGCGGGTTAATTAAAGGGTTGTGATACAGCACATGAAGGGAACGGCTCTTCATCTCAGAACAGTGGTGTATGTGGAGTGGTTCGACAAAACGTTTCATTCTCACGTCACGGACACGCAGGAACTGGATCCCTTAATTGACCTCTTAATTAAGGTGTTTCCTAACGAGCGTCATTGGGACCAATTAAAGGATTGTGACGGATTATCTACACGGTTTAAAAACTGATCATTGTCATGCGATCTGGTAAATGATGACGTGTCTTTACTGCCTAAAACCTCCATAAAACAACGCGGACAGTCCGTTGAAACACTTCCTTCTCGGTAATTTCACCACTGATTAATGTTTAAAACCTTAAAATGCACCTGAACTGTAAAATGAAACCTGACGACAGCTTCCTCAAAACCTCCGAGTGGACGGATGATGTAACAGCTTGTATGAGGTCATCACAGTGATGTCATCAGAGAGAGTTTACAGAGCTCTTTCATACGACGGACAACACACACACACACACACACACACACATACGCACACACGAACCAAAGCCCATTAATAATAATAATAATAATAATAATCAATAACGGTGGTTAAGCAGAAATCAGCAACACTGTCCCACGTGGCTTCATCATCATCGTCTTCATCATCAGTCCTTCGTGTCTCTGCGTGAAGTCCACTTCAGTTTCCAGACAGGAAGTGAGTCTGACGTCGCTAATTAATAACTGAAGGTTACACCTGCACCCGAAACCTGAACACCTCTAATTAAGACACTAATGAGCTCGCCAACCTGCTCATTAGCAGGTTGACCTAATTATCCCCGCCCCCTTCCCAGAGACTCCGCCCCCTCCCGGCCCTCCTCGGTCCGTCTACCAGACCTCGCAGCGCTTCCCAGTGTTCATGGGCGTCCCTGCCGGACAGTTGAAGTGGCGGCTGAAGTCCGGTGAGTTGGCGAGCGTGCCGATGACCCGGTATCGAGGCGGGCTGTGGGGGTCGGTCACCAGGCCCTCGTGAGCGCTCTCTGGTGTTCGGACGGAGCACCACACCTGTATACACAACACAGGTGAGTCTTGAAATCTGAGCCAATTCTGCAGAATGATTCTTTCCTTTACTCAGAAAGTATTCGTGGTATGCAGGTAAAATGTTGCATGGCTTCATTAAATTTACTAAATCATTTGATTCTGAGCTTCCAGATTCTGACCCTGCAGCTGCATGAATTAGAGAATAAACAGAATTAATGGAAACCAAAGTGGCCCCAGTAAAGATCCCTGTGGGACGCCGTTTCTTGAAATATAAAACCAAGCTGTTGTTTAATTGTCGGCAGACTCACCTGTGCGAATCCCACGAAGAAGAGCTGGTCGTTGGTCAGGTTGACGGCAGGAAGTCTCTTTTCTTCTCCGTTTCTCTGGATGTACGACCGATACGCCTGAAGACGAACAAAACATCGATGCAGAGACGCTCAAACGCCGAGAAACGTGTTGCTGCAGTGGTGTAAAACACACGGAGCTCATACTTACGTGGTACGCTGCCTTCAGCCCTCCGTTGTCTGCGATGTTTTCTCCGAGCGTCTGTTTGCCGTTGACGTGTTCTCCGTTGACGGTGTAGCGGCTGTACTGGTCCACCATACACTCAGTTCTCTGACGGAACGCCTCCACCGACGAGTTCTGCCACCACGGCCTCAAGTTTCCCTCTTTATCGTACTCGCGACCTGACGGACACCAAGAGGAACGTCTCGGTTAAAAGTTCAACAACAGAGACGCCGGTCCAGTCTGAAAACTAATCAATCGACTCATCAGTTCTGCAGAAGTGAACTGTCCAATCTGTTGAAAATGTACAACTTTCAACCGCAACAACCACCCAAAAGACACGAATATTGTTTAACAAATCTCTTCTGAAAATAATCTTGTCATATAGAAACTGTCACGTTTGTGTTTATTTTCATTCCGTTTTCTTTTTCATTTTTGATTTACTGTTTTATTCGTTTTTGACTGCTGTTTTTAATCCTTTTGTGAAGAAACTTTTGAACTCTAAAACCCACAAATAGGATCGAAAGGCATGTTTTCGTTTTTTTTTAAATCAGCGAAATGACAACATTTAACAGCCATAAACTGCAAAAACCTAAAGAATCAAACAGTCCTGTGTGATGTGCGGTTCAATCAGGAAAAAACACAGAATGAAACCATTTGTTTTGGACAATTTAAACATATTTCAAGTAATTTTGAACAATTTCCAACAATAAATGCTGTCTGTACAAAAACCATGTAAGTTAGGGTTTGCGTCCGTCCACTAGATGGAGCTGTTGGAGCTGTTTTCGTGTTTGTTGGTGTTTTTCTCTAGTTGAGAGTCTCATATTATAATTAAAACACGACTCCAACAAATGAGGCGCTTTGACACGTGACCAGAAGTTAAAACGAGCCGAGACTCACCCTGATCGTCGAAGGCATGCGTGAGCTCGTGACCCATCACCACCCCGATGCCACCAAAGTTCAGCGCCCTGACAACACAAAGCAAAGGCATTTTTAACCAGCTTTTCCAAACACAACTACTGTAGCTCTCACTCATATTTACAGCATACATGTATTAATGACCCACACATGCAACAGCAATAAACCTCCCAACCTAGAGAATGGAATTTTAAAGTCCCGTCAGCGCCCCCTACAGGCTGCAGAGCTCGTTGCCAAAAAAACAGATTTAGTGTTCCGATTGTAACACCTGGATGGATGTAAAAGTGATCTGGTGTCAGTTTTTACCAGAGCTTAGACGTGTTTTTCCTCCTAACATATCATGCGTCTATCTGCTGTACTGATGAAGTTCTGAGGCTCAGAAATGATGGAAAAAGTCCATTAAGAAGTGTGAAGTTTGGACCTCTGAGGGCCTGTAACTCTGGAAATATTCATAGCATGAAGGTGAAACTCTGCTTCATTAAATAAAGTCACTGTAGACGAAGAACCAGCTGCTTCTGAGGAGGTCCGGAGGAAGTTTCTTTTAGATTTCATCACTATTTCGTCTGCTAAGAGCAAATTGAAGGGGGTCAGCTGCACTCATGTTTTCTTGCAAGAGCACATGTGGTCAGTTTAGTAATACTTTTATATCCAAGACAGACAGACAGACAGACAGACAGACAGACAGACAGACGGGTAGATGTAGAAGTAAACAGACTTTGGATGGTCGTGGGCGTAGAAAGGCGCCTGCAGGATCCCAGCGGGGAAGACGATGCCGTTCTTGGTGGGCATGTAGTAGGCGTTGACCGTAGGGGGAGTCATGCTCCACCTGCAGGACAGAAGACAAACCAGACGAGTTGCTTTGTGTCCCATCGAGATGCTAAAAGATGTTCAAAAATGCTGGAACTGATGTTCGTGTAAGGAACTGTCAACCTTAAATTCTTAAATGCATTTTGATTTTATTACCATTCTTTTTCTTATTCTACATTTTACAGATACTTTATTCATTTTCAAGAATTTTGTTAATTAGTTTTTATTTTTTTAATTCACATTTTTTGGACATTTTATTATTTAATTACTTATGAAGCTGGTTTTAACTTAGTCGACTTGTAACGACAGAATAAAGTATATTGAGACGTGAAACTTCTTTCTTCATTTATTTTGTTTTGTTTTACTGATTCACATCATGTTTTTTTTTACTATTTTTTAAAGGGAATCTTTCATTAATATCCTTTGAACATTTAGTTATAATGTTATATTGTTACTAGTTTTGGGATATTTTACTTGGATTTTTATTTTTTTTTTTTACATGTCTTTAATAAGTTGGTTAATATTCACATTTTTATAGATGTAATTTATGTTTTTCAACATTTCTGAGATATGTAATTCATTTTCAAGAACTTTATTGATGTTTTTTGATATTTCATTCATATTTTTAAGATGTTCTATGAACTTGAAGCTGTTTTGAATTGGACCCTGATCAGAAAGGAGACTGTTCATGTTTACTGGTCTTTGTTGGGCGTCTTCCTCAGCTGGTCGGCCATCACTCGAGCAGAGAAGTTGTAGAAGTTCAACATGTTCTGGAAGAAGCTGTCGTCCGACACGTCGTACTGAAACAAACAACGTTCCTGTTATGTGACTGTGTATGTTAACATGTAGATGCTGGTGATGGACAGCAGGGGGCAGCAGAGCGCCGCTCAGGAAACTACAACCGTGTTCTTCTTCTTGACTCACCCCGTCGTAGACGTCGTCCAGCTCTTTGGAGTCCAGGATGAACTCTGGGAAACCGATCATGTCGTAGATGGCGTCGGCCTGATGAGGAACCAACGGTCACAGTCAGAACCATCAAAGTGCTTCTGACTGTATGTTCTTCAATTTAATGTTCTGCTGTGAATCCAATCAAATCTGAACTCTTCAACCTTACAAACTCCAAGCACTTTCTGGGTTACAGTCATGATGCCATTTTTAATATTTTTTTTAATATTTGCAAAATTAATAATCAAAGAACGTCAACTTTTTGTGCTTTGAACTGAAACTGATCGTCTGTCAACAAGCGGTGACGAGTTTTAGTGGAATCTAAACCAGACTGATGGGAGCAAAGATGGATGCAAAGTTCTAAATAGTTTTGTTTTCCGACACTTCTTAGCACAGATGAGCAACCGGCATCACTGGAAAGATCAAGATGTGCAGTTTTATTTGATATCTATGACACCATGCTGCAGCGAATACTTTCAGAGTGATTCAACTAAGAAGAAGAGAATTTGGACTCAGAGTGCATCAGACTGCGTCTCCTGTAAACCGACTGTAGACGTCGTCCATCGGGTTACCTTGTCCTTCGCCGCCTGTCTCGTCTGGTCGTCCATCCAGCGGAGTCGGTCCAGAGCGTCTTTAAACGCCGAGCGGATCTCGTTGATCATCTCCTCGGCCTTAAACAGAAGCAACGGGTGAGTTTAAACCAGCCAGAGTTCACCTGCCTCAGATTTACAACCAGCCGTAACCGCAGCGACTCACGATCTCTTTGCTGTGTTTGTCGAACGTCGCCTTGACGAACAAAGCGCCCAGAGCGAAGCCCAGAGTGTCGTCGGTGTTTCCGATACAGGTCTGCCAGCGAGGGGTGCAGGACTGCAGCAGAACACAACCAGTTAAACCAGTTAGAACCAGTTGGAGCTAGTTAAGACAGGTCAACCACACGTGTCCACTCAACGGTGAGAAGCCGCTAAAACCATTTACAGACAGCAAGAACCACCATCCCCTTAAACACCAGCACGAGTGTAACCAGTCCACAGTCAGTTACAACTAGTTAAAACCAGTTAGAGCCAGTTAGAGTTTGTAAAGACTGGTCAGCACCAACCACAGGTATCTACTCGCCAGTAAAAAGAACAAGAACCAACGTCACCTTTGTAAAACCCGTCGAGTCCGCAAATCAGTGATACCCAGTTACAATCCAGTTGCAACTAGTTTAAACCAGTTAGAATACTTTAGTTCAGTTTGATTACAAACGGTTGAAAATCAAAAACACCTACGACCCATTACGACCAGCTACAGCCTGTCAGTGTCTGTTATGATGTTTTAGAAGCATTTCAAACCAGTTACAACCTTTTTTTGACCACATACAACCAGTAAATACCATCCTGAACCAGTCACAACCAGTTAAAACCAGTTAAAGAAGCTTGCTATGGCAAATCAGAACCAGGAAGAGTTGGCAGCAGACCAGTTACAACCAAATTTAGATTAAAAAAACCCCTTTCCCCTAAATTTCCAGGTTCTGCAACCAGTTACAACCCATTAGAACCAGTTAAAACCAGTCAGACAGAATTATTTAGTTTTCTTTAGATTACAAAAGGTTGAAAAGTGAATCAGCCTGCGACAACATTTCAGAACCAGTTCAAACCTTTGACAACCTTTTCTAACCAGCTACAACCAGTCAAACCAGTTAAAACCAATAAAAAACAAAACAAAACCTTGTTATAGCACAAACATAAGTTTTTTTTCAGATTTCCACAGGTTTGAACTGGACAGAACTGGACGTCTTGTCTGGTCTGAACTGGTCCTATGACATCATCAGGCTCTGACAGACTGAACCTGAATCAGTTTCAGCCCTTTGTAATCAAACTGTGCTCCATCATTCTCTGTAACTGGTTGTAACTGGTTGCAGGTGAAGGTTTACCAGCAGTTGCTATCACTGTATCATCTACAGCAGACATACCTGCTGTGGTAAAACAAAACAAACGCATTTCAGAACCAGGAAGCACATAAACTGTAGTATTCATAGTAGCAGTTGTAGAACCAGCTGAACCTGCAGTAGGTGTAGAACGACTGTTGCTGCTGCGACAAGTACAGATACTGAGATCTAGCAGTACCAGCAGTAGTATCTGTTGCAGCAGTAGTACATGCAGGAGTATACGTAGTAGTACATGCAGGAGTATACGTAGTAGTACATGCAGCAGTATACGTAGTAGTACATGCAGTAGTATATGCAGTAGTACATGCAGTAGTATATGTAGTAGTACATGCAGTAGGATGCGTACCTTCTTGGTGCCGTAGAGACTCTCCAGCAGTTTGTCCTGAGCGTTCTCGAAGCGCTGATCCAAACTGGCGACGCTCTTCTGAACCAGCGTCCACATCATGTAGTTGTTCAGCAAGCTGAAGAGAGTTAAACAGTCCGACAGACCATAATAATCAGAGCACGTCCGTGAGTCAGGACAATCTGAAAACACTCATTGTTGTGACTGAAGGTGCTGAGTGGTGGTGGCTGAGCTCGGCGCCGCCTCTAACCTGCGGTCGGTCTTGTTGATGAGCTCGGACACCTGCTGCAGGTACTCTCTGGCGTACAGGACGACGGGTTCGGTGTCGTTCAGCTCCAGAGGAGACAGAGAAGACAGCAGGTAGTCGAGCCAGTCCACAGCTGGAGCCAACATCTGGAACCGACAGGAGATAAAACACAGTACAGACGTCAGCGACATCAGTCCAAACCCTGACTCAGCATCTGGAGGCGCACTATGACGGAGCAGAACTCCAGAATTCCAGGTATACCTACTGACAACATCAACCACCACCATGAGGATGTCTAGGGCCTCTTTATAGGTGTTCTATGTGTCTTTGTGGTTGTTTTGTGGTTGTTTTGTGGCTCCGTGTGGTCCTTTTTGTCTCTTTGTGGTCATTTTGTGTCTGTTTGTGGTCCTTCTGGTCCATTAGTCGTCATTTTGTGTCTCTATGTTGTTGTTTCGTGTCTCTTTGTGGCCGGTTTGTGTCTCTGTGTGGTCATTTAGTGTTGTGGAAATCTACTAGAACTTTGGCCTCAGGCTGGTCTGGTGATATAACAGCTGTCGAATGAAACTGTGGAACTGCAGAGAGTTTGAAAAGCCTCGTTCCACTCGCAGACACAAAACGAGCAGAAAGACCCACAAGATGACCACAAGGTTGTGACAAACAGTGCAGCCGTTAAATAAAGTGTCGTATCAACACCAGTCTGAAGGAAAAGGCCGGTGAACCTTTTATTTCTCTTACTGCTGTCGGCTTTAAACAACCGTCATCTTTATGTCTACTTTTGCTTTTGCTTTTGAATTCACTGCATTTAGATCTTAAAGCTGCACTTGAGTCTGTTTTAAGTTTAAATTAACTCGTTTGTTTAACATTTTAAACCTTGTGTTTTATTTTATCGTCCATTACTTTAAACTTTTATTCCTCCTTTACATAACTATGTGGGGTTTTTTTTCCCCATTCGTGGTAACTCTGGTTTTAATAAGTGCTAATACGTACAAATAAAGTTTATAATTATTGCTCCATATAAAAGGAGAGGCTTTAATTTCCTTTGACAAACACTGAGAGCAGCAGAGTCCCGAAGGGGAAGAAAAAAACATTTCACAGAAAAGTCGTGGATCCGGCTGGAACAGAAACTGTTAGAATGTTAATGAAAACCTGGAAGATTTCACTGCGTCAGAAGCTCGTGATGAAAATTTCAGCCGCACACGTTGCAGATCAGCGGCTACCAGCGAGTCTGACGAGGATAAAGTCGGAACATTTTGTGTGTTTGTTCTTCCTGAACATGTGAGAGTAAAGTGATTCCAGCCCACGTTTGGCTGAGAGAGGCGCAGGTCTGTCGGCAGTAATCCTCAGTGTGGGAGCAGACGTCTCCACCCGGGGGGGAGGCGCTGGGATGAAAAACTAATCCCTGCTGTCTGCTGCAGCTTCAAACAGGCACCAAGTCCAAAAAAAAAAAAGAGTGAAAACTGGAGACTCTGCAGGAGGAAACTCTCCACAGTGAAGCAGGTTTTTAAAGACTTAACAGGTTGTGGGAGCTTTGAAGTTCTTCACACGTCACTTTCTGTTTAAACTTCAGTTTCTACACTTTTTGTTCTGATTTCTACAGTTTCTAAAGTTGTTAACTTCCACCAGAGGGCGCTGAAGGCAAATGACTCCACAAACATGTTAATAATGTTTGATTTTGTTGCTTTTTCTGCAAAATTGTGTTTTGCAGTGAAGACAAAAAACAGCTCTGGCAAAAACATCTGGGGTCTAATAGTTCAGTGAGCGTGATTCCCACCACGATCGAACTGCAGTGTTGTCAGACTATTTGAGTTGCAAACATTATTTAAATGAGTTGTGTCAACATAATATTGTGTATAATTTAAACTTACATTTCTGCCTTTGTTGATTTAAAATTAAATTCACACTGATATGACACCAGAACCAAATCCAACACTTCCATGTCCTGTCGACACATGGCACAACACAACATGACACAACTCGATATGTCCTGACGCATTATGTCATGATACAATATGACACAACGGCTATGATATGACACGACACAATACAACCCAACACAATATGTCATGACATGATATGTCACAATAAAATACAACACAGTGTAACACAATATGCTATGTCATGATATAATGCAAAATGACCCAATACAACCCGACACATTATGAAATAATATGACACAACACGATAAACTATGCCATGATTGGAAATGACACAACACAAAATGACCCAACCTGGCATACGATGAGACAAGATGATGACAATAAGACTCCATATGTCCCGTCACATTGTGTCATGATACGATATAACAGAATACGACATAACATGATGTGTCATAATACGATACAATATCTCATGATATGATATGTCATATCATATCATATCATGATATGATATGACATATGACATGATATGATATGATATGATGTGACACGATAAAATACAACACAATGCAAGACGACATGTTATGTCACGATATGGCATGTCATGACCCGATAAACCACGTATGTCACCATATGATACGAGACGCGAGGCAACATGTGTCATAATGACATATGTCATGATACAACTCGACACTTTATGAAACAAAACAGCACAACACGAGCATGACACCTGACAGTAAGACTCAATATGTCCCCCCACATTATGTCATGACACAACACAACAAATATGACACGACATGGCACAGCACAACACTACGGGATATGCTATGTCATGATATGACGTGATATGAGACAACATGATGTATCATGACACGATACAACGCAACATGTCACAATAAAAAACAACATGACACGATACTGCACGATGTGTCATGATATTAAATGTCCTGAATGTCATGATAAATGACATATGATATGATATGACACGATATGTCACGATATTATACAACATGACACGATACAATATATCAAGCTATGATACAATACAACACGTCATGATACGACACAGCATGGCGACGTACAACATGATACGATATGACGCAGCATATCGTGATATATCATGATATAATATGAAAGTTTTGCTGAATGCTGCTGCCATTTTGCTCTGTGTCCATCTAGATTCTGTGTTGTTTGCTGATCTGTGGCTGCCAGAGGAAACGCTGCTGTTTACAGCACAGCGGCTGGTGGGAGGTTGGTGACGGCAGGTAGGGGGCGCTGCAGCTTAGTCACCGCTGATCTTTATTAGCTTCACTAATAAACTGGACAAATGACCTGAGATGTGTTTAAAATCTGAAACCAGAGAAGCTGCAGCTCAGCCTGATGTCACCACGACGGAGGGAAAATAAACAACGTAAACAAAAATAAACAACTCTCAGAGAGATGAAGTGAGGACAAAGACAAAGAGTCCAGACTGTTCTGCATGTGAAGTCGCCTTCATCTGCACATCAACCATGTTTATATAATAACCTGTTATCTAACCTCCTCCCTCGTTCTCTCTCTGAGGGATGCAGTCACATAGCAACAGCTCATGGCAACAGTCGCCATGGTGACCCCTGAAGCATCTGCAGCCCTGAAGGACGGGGAGCTGCAGCAGAGAGAGGCTGCACTGTCCACAGCATCACAGCCTTACTGCCGATCAGGAAACACATCTGCTGCTTCACCGCTCGAAAACTGTGAACAGAACCGCTGCAGAGACCTGAGCTGTGAGACGAATGAAGACGCAATCTGCCGCACGTGTGCTGAACCAATCGGACGGATTCTCTTTGTTTAACCCACAAACACGCGTATAAAAGCCCAAATACCTGGTTAGCAATAAAGAACACGGAGGCGCAGGTGAGTGAAGCTAAACAGAGAGCAGCTGGATTCAATAAGGTGATGCGTTCCTCTCCACACCAGCCGTCCACTCCGCCGGAAACAAAAGTGAGATTTTACAAAACATGACATGAGCTGAAAGGTTGAAGGGCTTCAACACCTCCTGTATCTGCCGTCACATTCCTTCCTGCTGTGAGGAAACACTGTTTACCCGGCAACATGTGAAAGAATGATAAAACACATTGAAAGAATGATAAAACACAACCGCGCAAAGTGGAAAAAACTGTCGGTAAAAATCCCCAAAGTCACATCCTGCAGTCGGCTTTGGATTGTTGGATTGTTTCGGCCACAACTGGAAACGACGGCATCGTGTTTGTGTTTGTTCTGTGCTGATGTCTGTAGCGTCGGAGACACGAGGTGATACAACGAGGCCTGACATGACAGGATACGAGCAGACGTGGCACAACTCGACTACACAACATGAGACAATACGACACGAGATGCAACCGGACTACATGA